ATATATATATGTGTATATATATATATATATATATATATATACAATCCCTGGCTAAATTATTAGGTTCACTAAAAGATTCTATTTTTTTTTATTTGTCATTATTTACATTAGCCGTTAGGCCATTAAACTTCTTGCTTGCCAATAGCATTGAAATATACGAGGAAAATCTGTCAGTGCTTCACACTCGTCCAAATGTTCGGCCGTTATTGGCCGTCCACTATCACGTAAAACACATAAAGGTGAATACACTAGTTTAATGCGAAATAAATGATTCTGTAGACAGTCATGCCCCGTTAATAGTCTAAAAGATGCAATCGCAACTGATCGCGGGTGGTCAGGAATAAAAGCTGAGTTTGTTAAAAGAACACTCCAGGGCTTGCCATCGCAAGCCCGGGTGGCAAAATTTCTAAAAGTTCTTTGATAAATGAGTGATGTCAGCAGTTTAATAATATGGAGGCTTGCTTTAGTTTTGGCTAAAAGATTCTATGTAAAAGCTTAATTATCAGGTGATACAATACAGCTTCATTGTTTTTACGTGACTGAAACCGGTTTGCACTTGTTTACGTTCGTGTATCAATTATTGAACATTGTGATGCACTACATTAAAAATAAATACAAATAGGAAGTATTCAAAAGATCTGAATAAAAACCCATTACACGTATGTTTAAATATAAAAGTATTGAATATAAACACGTGCAAAACATGAAATTATTGAAACACTACAGTGCGTCTAATTATTTGGTCTAATTATTATAATATACTCATATAGTACTTGATATAATAAATATTCTATATTTATATAATATATCGTCTAATTTATCCAATCGTCGAATTTATATTATATATCGTCTAATTTAACCAAATGATACACGAACACTAACAAGTGCAAACCAGTTTCAGTCACACAAAAACAATAAAGCTGTATAGTATCGCCTGATAATTTGGATTTCACACAGAAGCTTATGGTGAGTCTAATAATTTGGAAATGGGCTGTATGCATGTTGAAGTTTTAAAAATATATAAAATAAGTTGCTTTTGTTGCATCAAAAAATAAAAAACATAATGAAGAACCCTTTACCTCAATATGGCACCTTTTTAGTAACCAAGGTGAATGTGCAAGGATTTTGTTTATTTCATTTAAATTTTTCAGCTTCTTTGGAGTGAATTGGAGACCCTGAAGCCATTGTAAATTTCCACCTACAGCAGCAAATCTATGTCTATGGTAGTTAATCAAGCATCGACACTGATGTCTAGAAGCGGCCTAAGAAAGAAAATTAACGAAATATATGTGTGGTAGCACATACTCAATGTTATAAATTTCATTATCAGACTTAAAAGAAAAAATGTATTTGGTAATACTTACTTGCTAAGCCTATTAGTGAAAGTGACCAAAATAAAAAATAGATTGCCTTTTTTTTTTTTAAAAAAAAAAAGGAATGTACTTACTTTTTCTTCAAAGCAGACTAATGGTAAAAAATAAAACGATTTCTTCTCATAAAAAAATTGAATACATTTTACAAATTAAAAATTTTTGCAATTAACATTTGAATTATACTAATATTTTAATTTCTCTTTTAAATCTGTGGAATCAGACTATCAGAGAAAATTTGTAGATAATGACAGAAAGGTTATAATACATATAATGCATTACAAGACATGTAATGAATACAAGAGTACATATTATTTTGTGTACACCTAAGTTACATTTAATACTTTTTATTTATTTTGCACTCTGGTTTACTCTGTTATAGCTTGGATGATTTTTAAGCAATTAATATATTTTTTGCCTTTATAAATTATATATAATTACTTAAAAATCAATTGTCTATAATTTTGATGATCTAAACTTATTTTAACTTATATTTTAAGTTAGCAATTATTCAATAAAATCAAATGCAGGGAACGCTATTTTAGTAGCAAATGATCGTATGACTTGGAAAAACTTAAAAACCAAAATTTCTGTAAGACACAAGAAAATTTTGTTTAAAGAGTTATTCTTTCGTGACTAACGTTAAATTTAAAAAAAAAAATAATTATTTCTTTATTTATCAACAAAAAAAAAAAAATTATTTATTTATTGTGACTAAAGTAACAGTTTTGTTAAAAATGTAAAGAGTGGAGTAAGACTGGGTAGCCAAGATTCGAAAGCATATGTAATATCTATAGAAATACAGCGAAACATTTCAGTGAAAGTTTTAGGCAATTTTACTTTATAAGACAATTTGCGAATGTTACGTATAAAATCCGCATGTGAAATAATTATCTTTTTCCTCTGCTCCACTACAGCTTTCGTAAGCCCAGCTAAAACACTTTCCATACTAGATCCAACTTTCTCTTTGTTTTAGTTAGAAAATATTTCATTACAATACAAACAATCAACACCTGATATGTTTTTATCGTCTTCTTTGGTTACAAACATCAATTAAGGATTTAGGTTTTTTTGATAAAACTGTTTTGTTTTTCTTACACTTCTCTTATTGGTCATTTTGTTTTGAGGTTTTCCTTTTTTTAGTTATTGCAAAACAACTTTCTTTTCTTTGATAGCATATTTTTTCATGTTTTTCTTTTTCCTAATATTGACTTTATATGATGATGGTCCTGAGAGCTAAGCGAATCATGCTACATTTGGACTAAATTCTTATTATTTGTTAACGGTACAATAAGCTTGGCGATTTTTAATTCGCAATCACAGCTCTCGAATACGCCATCTAGGGAGAAGACCGGTTCCATGGTTTGACCCTCCCCTCCTCAGTTGTATATGAATGCACTATGATATTTTCCTTTTTCGTAATATTTTTCCTATTTAATTGTTACAAATATTTTTTCAAAATTTCCACGACGCTTTCTTTCGGAACTATGTTCAATGTAGCTTCCAATTCCATATAGGTTCCTAACTTAAAAGTTATTAATCTATTGGAAAATCAAGACAGAAACTAACGTACTTCCTTCTCCTATGACTCTCCACACCCTAATGGTGAAAACAGGTGAAGTGCTGCAGCTTGTTATTTTCGTTGTGTTATTTTCGCAGCTTTTGTAACATATTTCCTCATGGTTCTTAAAATCTCGATATTTAAATATGCCTTTATAACATACCACGAAATCCGCATTCCAGTTAGTTATCATTTCTTAATCAACTCGATCGGCAATGAATCCACATTGAATAATTTTTTCAGTATAGTTATTAATATGGAATTTCGCTTGGCTTTTAAAATCTCAATGTACGATATTATTTCGTTCGGCAGACTTCGAATTGCGTATTTCGTACTCAACTACAATTCACCTGCAATCCCACAGGGATTTATGATCGTATTTTTTTTAGTTATTGCAACCGATTTTCATAGTTTTTTAATACTGCATCATCATACATGGAAAATTTCTAATCGCGCATTTGTAGAATTACTTTTTGATGCTTTCGATTTGTGACGATTGCGACGTTTTATCGATCGCATTTTCAACAGTTTGGGATTTTCATATAGTTTTTAAAACTACAACTTTATTTTTAATACAATATATAATCCGCGAATTCCGATTCACGTTTTTGAATAATCACTTAATGACCCGTTTTAGTCGTGATGATTTAATCTTAAATCCGTAATTTTTTCAAAATGTTAAATTTTTGTGCATTCTGAAATTGATAATAATCCTTTCATGCAAGACATGAGAAAAAAAATTACGCGATTTTTTTCGCGTTGTAGTGAAATGCCCAATTTCATTTCTGTGATATCCAAATTTCTTTTTATATTGTAGCGGGAAAAGAAATTTGGATAGAGCGTTCGCCTTCCAATTGGGTTTAACTGGGTTCGAATCCCGGCAATGGCTTGTCGATACGAATCCGCATCCTGCTTGCACCGACTACAGTGCTGACGTGAAATATCCTCAGTGGTGAACGGATTATGGGTTAGAATCCCCTCCCCTCGCTGTCAAACGAACGGTGGGAAGTTTCCGCGGTTTTCCTTTCCATGTAACGCATATACGGGTTAGTGCCATCAAGAAATCCTCCACAAAGGCAAATTTCTCCTAATACTTGATCCAGGAGTTCCCTTGTCTTCAGGATTGGGTTCAAAGTTACAAGGCTACGGAGTTGAACATAAGTAGTCGCAAACCCGAAAGTTGGGCCGGCTGTTCAACGATGGCTATAAAAAAAAAAATTATTGTGGCGGAAATCGGACTAAATTCGAACAAAAATCGGAAGTCAGGGAAAAATCATAAAGAAGCGAAAAAGTGGTGGATCCTCAACCGTGCATACTTTTTTTATAAAACAAATCGAAATGTTAAATAAATAAATAACTAAATAAAAAAAATCAAGGGGAAAATTTTTATTTTATTTTTTTGATTGTTAAAAAGTGTCCGGAAAAGAGACTCTTCCGATAAACGGACGACCGAATACGGGACATTGTACTATTTAGATTATCCTCAGTTAGGACTTGAGAAAATTTTGTTCAGACAGTGGCAACCTGTGAATAGAATTCATAACAATCTTATCATAGTAAATCATTTTATAAAATTTCATTTAAATTATTTGACTTCAACAATTTAAACAGTATTTTTAGTTAACTAATTCTGATAAAAAACCTATTCCTTTTCTTACAAGAACTAATTATCAAGATAATGTATTCTGATTTTATTTTTTTTGCCATTGATAATTATCATCTCGAATTCTAAAATCCGCAAGTATGTCTGCTTTTTTAAAAAACTTTCAAGATTTTCCTCAGATTTTACATTTTGGATTTCGACCCATACTATAATACTAATTATTTGAATTAATGAACAGGTAAAACAAAACACCACATTTTTAAATAGACTATAAAAGCAAGGAATAAAAAAAATCAGTGTACATTTTGATAAAATATTCTTACCATAATTGCTATGTAATGCCTGTAATCATGTCTTAGAGGTCCATTATCACTCATAAGGAAATTTTGTGTGCCCAAAAATTCTCTCAAATAATCTGGGTGATAGCTTATTTGTTTTATAGCACGGCTCAAATCCTCGTTCTGAAAATTAAAAAAATTATAAAATTAACAATCGACCCACAAAAAGCATATTTTTAAAAAAAATACTGCATTAGCAAACTAAAAATTATCTATATATATATGCATAAAGAATAGCGGCCATTATTTCGACTATTTCTTCTACAAAAAAAAGAGAAGAAAATACTATGTTGGGAAGATAAAAATGTTTGTATATACATGTATCAAGAATCATGATTTTGTTTGCATGCAAATATATATATATATATAAAATCACACATACTTTCTTGTATATTCAGGTGATTAAACTATTTCATATAGTATTAAAATAATAAGAAGTAAAACATACTAAATTTTAAAATTTTATAAGATTTGAAAAATAGTTATTTAAGAAGGGGAAAAGTTAACCAAATTTAAAAAAAAAAAATGATTGAATAATAAATCTATCAAACAATAATGAAATATCTTATTTAAAAAGAACAACTTTTCAACAATGTTGATTCATGAAAATCGTTTAAATCATGTTGATTAATTTAAATGAAGTTTTTCAAACCAGACCTCAAAAAAAGTGACATTTTGACGATATTGTTTTTTACATAACATGCAGAATGACATATCAAGGTGAATTTAAATAACTTAAAAGAATCATACAAAAAATTGAAGTTGTCTATCTTTTGTTAATTTTATCGTCTAATATAAAGATTTTTTTACAGAAATAAAACTTTGAATTTCTATTCAACAGATGGCGCCACTACAGAATATACATCCAGCGAAATATTTTAAGATTAACTTTACTAACAGATGGCGCCAGAGAGAAAAGCAATCTTTCAGAAAACAGTAGGAAAAAGAAATCTTAATGGCAAGTTTTAGTTTTTAGAGAAACATGCACAAAATATCATTTATTATTATTATTTTTTTCAAAATGAAAATCACATTACAATCGTTTAGTTTATGTTCAAAATAACATTTTTTTTAAAATGCATATTTTAATTAAAATTAATCATTCAGAATAAAATTAAAACAATTCACAAATAAATGACATAATTAATAACTTTAAATCAACAAAAATACTTTTTACATGGTGGATGACTTCTTCTTTATTTATAATTAATAGATTAGATAAAAAAATTTTTTTTTTTATCGATCAATGTAGATAGTAACTTATCTAGCATAAATAGATAAGTGTAAATAATTTTTTTAAGTTTTATAGATTTAAAAAAACTGCGAAGTTATTTGCATTACATTCACCATTCACAGCCCACAACATGTACAATATTTAAAAAAAATAATTTTGGATAATGAATGGAAATTTGGAACACAAGAAATAAATACGCATACATAAATGTTGATATTTACATTAATTTGTGAGTGATTATTTAATTTTTTTATGCATTTTATATCATAGTAATACTTGTATTGGAGAAAAAAGATGGATAAAGAGGCATTATTTAAAGCAAAATAATAATAAATAAAAAATTGCGGGAAAAGCAAATGAAATGGTGATAAATTTCGAACAAATTAAAATGCCAATGAAAAAATTGGACACTTGCAAGACAAAATTTTTTTTAACACCCTTTAGAAAAACTTAACAAACATTTATTAAAAAGTTAAAACATTTTTTGATATCCGTTGTTTTCAATACCGTACACTTTTCTACATACATATTTGATAAAACTTTATTTTTGAAAAGATAATCTTTGAGATTATCTTTATCTTTTGAAAAGATTATCTTTATCTGGAGTTTTATCTTAGCATAATTTTTAGTTAAAGTATAAAAACTAGATGCAATTTGTATTACATTATTTAAAAAAAAATCAGCATAACTACAGTTTTTAAGAAAATTCAAATGAAATAGAAACATTTTTTAATTACTAAGAGGCTCATTAAACTATTGCTTCACTCACCAATTCCTGTAATTTTTCGCAATCAATGTAGTTTTTTTTCCTTAAAAACTGATTTAAAAAAATCATTTTTTTTTATAAAATATTCATCACTCTTTTACATTTTATGTAAGCAAATTTTGAATATATATTAATAGTAACGAAATGTACAAAGGTTTTAAAAATAATCTTTAAAAAAATTTAAATTTAGGAATGTGCTACCCAATAAAAAGAAATTTTACTTGTTAAAAATTTATACAGATAACCTTCAGTCATATAACAAATTAGAAACAGTTTTACTTTTTTAAAAATTTCCATATAAATGCCAATATTTATATACATATTCATCAGCTATATATATACATATTCATCAGCTACATTTATATACATATTCATTATATACAATATTCATCAGCTATTTTTTTTAAAAACAATTTGCACTTTTTTTTGTAATATCTGATATCAATTCAAGTGCGAGGTTATAAAATGAAGGTCTCGAGTGAGAGAAACAATGGGTAAATAAATAGGCATTATTCAAAAAAAGAAAGAAAAAAAAAAGAGTAAAAAAGCGATGGTAAAAACTTTCGAACACAGCGAGTTAAATTTCTACTACTTTGTAATTGTATTTATGGGACCCGTAGAAAGGACCGTATTGTATTTTTTACTACACGTTTAACAGTCGTTAATTTTCGAACTACTAAACGCTTTCGATATTTTTATATACAGAGATACAGTTTCTTACATTGATAGTGCTCATTTAATTATTTGATAAAATTATAATATATTCCTCAGCATTTTTAATATTAATTCACTTTTTTTCTCATTTTGTACAGTAAATTATTTTTAATATTTATTTATTTCGGAATGAGGGTTGCAGTTTTTTTTTCTTTTTTTTTTCTGAAAATAACTGTCTTTATTTCAAGTGAGAAAATATCAGGCTTCGCTGTCCGTAAATAGAAAAGAAAGAAAAATAAAAGAAAAACTTTTTTGAACCATACTACTTTTAAAAAGGGCAAATGATCACCTAAAGAAAGTATAATTTGTGCTACTTTTAGTGCAAAATATTAATACAAGGAAGGCAAAAATTTAGCTCTAAGAATAAAAAAAAAAAAATACTATTTTTTATTTCAAAACTATCTTATTTAGAACCTGAAGGATGTGAGAATTATCTTGATAATGTTCATTTACGGTGGAAATCCTTGCTCTGCAACTGTTCTCTTTACCTAAGAGCTATAGATAATAATGATGTTCTAGAATTTCTTTTTTTTTTTTTTTTTTTTTTTTGAACTTCGAATTATTGAAAGTTATTTCCTCCGCTTTATCTAAGTTATGCAATATTGACTACATGTGATAGTACAATTTTTAAGAGTACTATAATTTGAATTTCGCCAAATGTTTGGCGATAGACAGCAGTTTTAAGTCAGGGGCCTGCGCTTCAAAAATCTATTCATAACATTACACATTTACCCTTTTGACTTATCAATGGACCATATCTATATAACCCCAACACTACCTATGGGGGTGAAAATTCCAAGTGGGGACAAGTGACGGGGATAAAGTTTGAAAGGCGCCTTCTATATTAGAGGGGAATGCGGTTGATTTAAATGGAATTAAAATGAATAAAACGGAAATTTGATAACGTAAAACTATATAAAGAAATAAATGTCTTTTGTCTCACAAAAGCCAAATTTTAATTAATAATATAAAATAGGGATACAGCAGAGATATATACAACAGAGATATCGCATACAGAGATCTAAAATAATAAGATACAAAGAATAAATACGATATGAAGAATAAATACGGTACAAAAAGTAAATAAAATCCCATTGTAGTTTTTCTCGCCATATATTTGCAAAACTTATTTTCAATAACATGTGCGGAATTTTTTATGCGTATAAAAGGAAAAAAGAAATAAACAAATGTAGTTCTCATTAAATCAATATAGCCAATAGGTTTCTAATTCTTCCAGCAATAATTCCACCAAAGTGGAAGAAATTCTTTTTAATAAAGAAATATCAAGTATTAAATTAAGTAATCAAGTATTAAATATCAAGTATGAATCACTTGATTCGAATCATTAATCCGAATCGCATGATTCGAATCACTGATCTGTAATAATAGATTCGAATAGTGATCCAAAATGCGTGATTCAAAACACTGATCTAAATCACTTGATTCAAATAGTGATCCAAAGTACATGATTCAAATCACTGATATGAATCACTTGATTCTAATACTGATCCAAGCTACATGGTTCGAATCAGTGATCCGAATCAATTCATAAGAAAAATGATCAATGAATCAATGATCCGAATCGTATGCTTTGTATCACTGATCTGAAATCTCTTGATACGAGTAGTGATTTGAATCGCTTGATTTGAATTCCTTATCTAAATCACTTGATTTGAATAGTGATCCGAATCGCATGATTCAAATCAGTGATACGAATTACTTCATAAGTATCAGGGTTTCAAATCACATAATTTAAATCAGTGACTTGAATCACTTGAATCGAATCATTGATCCGAGTTGATTTGATTACTTGATCCTAGTTGCATTGTTTGAATCAGTGATCCGAATCTCTTCAGAAGAATCCGTTATTCGAATCACTTGCTTTGAATCACTTAATCCGAATAGTGATCTGAATCATATGATTCGAATCACTGATCTGATTCCCCTTCTCCGAATGTTGATCCGAGTTACATTGTTCGAATCGGTTGCCCAAATCACTTCATAAGAATAAATGATCTCTGAATTGCATGATTTGTATCACTGATTTGAAATCTCTTGATTCGATTAGTGATTAGAATCGCTTGATTCAAATCCCTGATCTGAATCACTTGATTCGAATAGTCATCAGAATCGCATGAATCAGTGATCTGAATCACTTCTTAAGAATCAATGATCTGAATTACAAAATTTGAATCTGGATCACTTGATTCAATTATTGATCCAAATCGCATGATCTGAATAATTAGATTCGATTATTGATCCAAATCACAAAATTTGAATCAATGCTCTGAATCACTTGATTCGAATAGGGTTACAATTTGTATTAATCAAATCACTAATCTGAATCACTTGATTCGAATATTGATCTAAATCACATGATTCGAATTACTGATCTGAATCACTTGACTCGAACCATTGTTCCGATTCGTATGATTCAAATTAGTGATCTGAATCACTTGATTTAAATAGTGATTTGAATCAGTGATGTCAAATTACTTGATTCGAATAGTGATCGAATCGTATGACTCGAATCTATGATCCGAATCATTGATCTAAATCATCTGATTCGAATCATTTACCCAAATAATTTTATTTGAATAACTAATCTGAATCGTTAGATTCGAATGAGTTATTTTTATCCCTTGACTTAAATCACTAATCAAAATCATATGATTCGAATCAGTGATCTGATTCAAATTCGGCCCTTTCACAATTTTATTTTAGAGTAGACGGAGTGTTTCACTGCAATTTTTCTCACATCCCATTTTTGATAAAGAAAAATTATCATGAATTGCTTAGTCACAAATATATTACAGATATGATAAGAGTAGAAAAATAAATATTTTTGAATATAAAAAGTGACATTAGAAGAATAAAAGGAAAAAGTATAGCGTAAGAACAAAAAAAAGCATACAGTAAAACTAAATTAAAGACAAAAAGTACAAATAACCCCAATTTTTTTAGAACAACCCCCACTTTCATAAAAAAGAAAAGCGAATCAATTGAAACAGGAAAAAACATTAAAATCTCTACTGTCATCTAAATTAATGCAGAACCTATTGTCTGCCGATCAACCCCTTCTCAATATTTAATATTGTTGAGAGTTGGTAGGTTGAAAAAAGAGGAACATCAGTTGTTTTGTTTTTTAGAGAAAAGAGTGAAAATAATTATATAGTAAGAGGTTGAAAAACCACACCCTCGCCTGAGAAGAAAAAAAATTTTACTTTTCAAAAATATTTGTGGCCGCTTTTGCTATTGAGCAATACCTATGTTTTCTAGTATTCATTTTGTTTTTTTAATGTTGTTCTAGGGTTGTTTATTGTTTTATAAATAGGTAGTGTTCTTTTACTACTATCAATGTTCAATTCCGAAAGCCTAGTAATTTTGAATCTAACCCGGAAGACAAGGAAGTCCACTATGGCTAGTTTCTTGAATCAAACTAGCCATAGTGGAGAACTCTTTGATGAAACTAACCCGCATTTGCGTTCCGCATCCGACTAATCACGAAAAACTGCCGTGGTTAGCTCGATAGCAAGGGTATTCTAATCCATGATCCGTCTACCAAAGAGGATATTTTTTGTCTCCACTAGGGTCGGTGCTTGTTAAGCTATTATTGGAGCTAGGGATGCTTAACTAATTGCGGTAATAAGAAAATAATGTTCTTATAAAGATAGTAAAGCAGCAAGTTTTTTTACGGCAGACCGAAAAGTATTAGAATCAAAGATTTCACAGGATGCACAAAAAAATGTACTGCTATTCTTTAAAATTTTGACTAAAACATGTTAGTAATGAGAAGCCATTCGAAAGGAATTACAAAAGCAATTCCGGGGTTTGGTGAACGCAACAAACAAGGTCTCATCTTAATTTTTTTTCTTTTTGCACTAGATTCGTATTAAAAATAAAAAGATAATTTTGAATCATCCCTTCAACAGAAACGCAAATACGAGGAATAATTATAATAATTATGATTTTTTAGAAGACAATAAAATGATATTGAGGCATATAAATACTGCCGAAAAAATGCAAAAAAATATTTTAAGGTCAATTTTATAATAGATGAATCATTTCATTATCGAACCACTCCCTGATGGGAATCATTAACTGATTCGAATCCACAAAGTGAACTGATTCTATTGATTTGAATCACTTTGATGATTTGTTTTTGTCCAACTCTAATTTTTACTAGTTCTCTTTGCTTTGTCTATTTTACGATTCGTCTACTTTTCTTCTTTTTTTCGTGGTTTTCAGTCTCTTACACCATTCTGAGTATTAATTTTTAATGGAACCCAACCTCGACATGCAATATTTTGGGTTAAGTTATGGAAAAGTATAGAATTAATTTTTACATTAAAAATATGAAGGTCAACTTTTGCTTTATCTTCAACATTAGAACATTCTGGAACGGGTCTGTCCAGACATTTTGTGAAAGGTCTTGTTTTTGTAAAACTGTGAAAAAACTACTCATAATTTGTGAATATAAAATAAGCGTTAAGTCACATTCTTTCAACCAGGGTCCTGCTTTTGTGAATTTTTGCAAATAGGGTCCTGTTATTGCAAAAATTGCTAAAAACCTTTTCTAAATTAGAGATGAAAGCTAAGTTAAACTACATTTGAAGCTAAATTTTAACTCATATGCTGATTTATAAGNTAATGGAAACAAAATCACTCACATTTTTAATAATTTCAATTGACATATTTTAAATAACACAACTTAGTTATGTATCACTTTTTATGTGTTACATATTAAGTAAACTTAAACAATTCTTATTTTTTTAAAATATTTTATTTAAAAAATTGCCAGAAATTAATTTTTATTACATAATAATCTATTAATTAATTTTATGAATAATTAATTGATTATGAATCATAAATTGATCAATTATTTATTTACAGAAAAAATAATAAATAAATAAAAAATTCATTGGTATGTTTTCAGCCATGAAGTAACAAAATAGAATATCTCTACACCTATTCTTTACCAAAGACATTTTATGAAAAGAGTTTTAATGTTTTTATTAATACAAAAGTATTTATAATTTTTGTATTACATATATATATTGTATTTATATATACATTGTATTATATATATGCATTGTGTTATATATATATATATATATATACATATTATTGTATATATACATTGTACATCTATATATAACATTGTATTTTAGCACCTGAATGTTCGTCATTGAGATAGAAATGTTACATTTCAATTTATATACTAAGTTTATTTAGCTTGATATTAACCTAAAAATAGCTTGATGAAAGCTAAGTTAAACTACATTTGAAGCTAAATTTTAACACATATGCTGATTTATAAGTTATAAATATAGTACTGTAAATATCACTGTGTGAAAAAGTTTGCTTTATCTAATAGGCTCACTAAAAAAAGCTGGTGTTTTCGGGTTCAACCCACTTCGCCACATTAGAGAACTTTTAGCATAGCAATATCATTTTATGTTGTTTATTGTGTAAAAAGAAGAAACTCTGAGTATCATAATTCATTTTCTTTTTTTTAACGAAGGTCATATCCAATAATTTATTAATTTCACTTTCTTTAATCTGAGTTTCATCTGAAAAAAAGTTTTAAAACAGTAGAAAAGAATTTCTTGCTTTTGAGAACATTTTTATAAGCTTATGTACAAGACTAAATAAAACATACCTGATGTGGTCCAGCCATTGGTTTTCTTGAGAATCCAAAGAATTATAAAAGAATTGTGTTCTTTTGAATTCCAAGGATACTTTTTTCCTCATGAAGTCAACTAATAAAAGCCTATAATTAATAGATAAATAATATCTTTAATTAACTATTATACCATAGAAGATTGATTTAGTTATTATTTATATCATTAAAGGAAATATTTTAACAATAGATACATTTATACATTGTTCAAATTTTTAAGCAGGTAGCTTTAATATGGCGCCAAATTTAACCTTACCCCGAATATTATTTCTTGATGAATATGATCACTATACAATGGTTCAGTTAGAAAAGAGAAGATAGTATAATATATTTTGCATGTATTCTTTTTTTATGCAATCTGTATCATCAATGCACGTCATATTTTATATTGCAACGGTACACTGTAAAAAATCTTGGATCAAATTACGCTAAAAAGGATTGATACTTTTTTTAATTTACTGATACAGTGACAGTATTCTTTACCGTACAACTTTACGGAAAGAAAAATCTGATATACCGTAATTTTTACTGTAAAATCGCTAACTCATTGTAATTAAATAAATATTACTGTGAAAATTACGGTAAAAATGGAATTCACAGTAAAATGGATTTTAAGGATGCTGCACTCAGGGTTCTTTTTACGGCAATTTGAACCGGAATTTCAACTGTGTAGAAGAATCTTGCAATAATATTATAATTAAGAGTTCCTTGTGTTTTACGAAAAAAAGGCTTATTTCTTGAATTTGTAATTTAAAAATTAATAGGAAAATAGAATCATTTTATTTTCCTTAGATACACTTTCGAAATAAAGTCCCTGGTCAAATTATTAGACGCGCTGCAAGATTCTATGTAAAATCTTAATTATCAGGTGATACTATACAGCTTTATTGTTTTTACACAGCTGAAACCATTTTGCACTTGTTTACATTCGTGTATCAATTGGTTAACATTGTAATGCAATACGTTAAAAACAAATACAAATAGGAAGTATATAAAAAATCTCTGGAATAAAAAGCTATTACATGTATGTTTAAATATAAAAGTATTGCATATAAACTCGTGCAAATCATGTAATTATTAAAACCCTATATTGGGTCTAACAATTTGCTCTAATTACTACAATATACTAATAACTGATATAACAAATATTCTATATTTATATAATATATCGTCTAATTTATCCAATCATCGAATTTATATTATAAATCGTCTAATTTAACCAATTAATACACGAACGTAAACAAGTGCAAAATGGTTTCAGCTGTGTAAAAACAATAAAGCTGTATAGTATCACCTGATAATTAAGATTTTACATAGAATCTTACACAGCGTCCAATAATTTGGCCACGGACTGTAATTTCATTGTTCAAATATGAAATTTATAATTGAAATAAACGTGTTAATGATTTATATTAAAATTGTATTTTAATATAATGAAATGCATAACTATTATTTTACCCTCATTGCCAAAAGTTCATCAAATGAAAAGATCAATTTAAGAGCAAATTTTCAAATGGAGCAAATGTTTTGAATAATTTAAGATATACTAACATAGTTATGAATTTTGAAAAAAAAAAATTACAATTCAAATTAAAAACTATTTACGGTTTATTTACCTCATCTCATGATGAGGAAGAACTTAAAATTGCATATCGATCGTGAAGCGATATTATATAAAAATAATGCAATTATTTCACGATTTCAACAAATATTCGTAATGAATCTAAGTTGATTAGTTATCTCTAATTTTCGCAGAAATAAAAACAACTTTTTTATCAAAATATAGACGTACGAGAGAAAAATTTGATAAACGATTGTGAACTAAGACTATAGCATTTTTCCTTAGATAACAAAAAAACATTTAATGCATGAACTTAACAAATCATAAAAATATTAGTATTATTGTCTGCTATGTGCCATCACAAAATAAAAAATTTACCTTTGTATCAAAATAAAAGTAAGAATTTGCGATAAATTCGTAATGAATATTCGTAATGAAACAAATATTCGTAATGAATCTAAGTTGATTAGTTATCTCTAATTTTCGCAGAAATAAAAAACAACTTTTTTATCAAAATATAAACGTATGAGAGAAAAATTTGATAAACGATTGTGAACTAAGACTATAGCATTTTTCCTTAGATAACAAAAAAACATTTAATGCATGAACTTAACAAATCATAAAAATATTAGTATTATTGTCTGCTATGTGCCATCGCAAAATAAAAAAGTTACCTTTGTATCAAAATAAACGTAAGAATTTGCGTAATTATATAAAAAAATTTCCTTTCTTTAATTAATGTAACTCCTATTACTAATAAATGTTTCTTTTTGAAAAAATATTATAAATATTGTATAGGACAAAATGATCTCTGATGTTTTCTTTTCTCAACCAGGAAGTAGCTCAGATCATGTGACTTTCAAGGTCATTATAGATGTCTTCTTTTTTAGCCTCCATTTTCACTTCTTCAACTAAGGGAGAAGTCTCCTCATTCTTACAATATTAAATAATACATCATTAAATTTCTACATCACTTGAAAAGATGATTTTTTCATGATGCACTTTTACTCCTTCATGGATTAATCAATATTAAAAAGAATTTATTAAACCTCATCGCCTTGAAATAAAAGGTAAGCTTTACTACCTTTTTCTTATCAAGATCATGAGACTGAGGTTATAAAATAAATATAGTGCGCAAAAATTATAAATATATTATTTAGGAAATATAAGCTGTTTTAAAGCTATATTGAACTTAAATAAAAATGATAAAATAGGCATACATACATTAATGTTGAACGTACTATATATTACATATTAGTAAAAACTGATTATAGCACACTTATAAAATAGCCATACATAAGACTATAACTCTATATGTTTGCTAAGAAATATAAAAACAGGAATAGATACATAAAATTAAATTATGGAGTAACAAATAAAGTGTTTACATTTTCTTAATTAGTGAATGAGTATATAAGATAAAATATTGTCAGAAATTCTAAATATAAACAATTATCACCATATGAAATTAAAAATGGCTTCATCAAGTCACTCTCAATTGATAGAAAAACTAAATCATCACAATAATAGTAATTGGAGTGTGAATATGTTAACGCTACTCATTAAAAACTAATGGTATGAAATTATAACAGATACACCCTCTAATCCCATTACAGCAGACTGAAGTAAAAAAGAGAAAAAAAGCTCGCACACTTATGAACTTACGTAGTGACGATAATCAAATACCTCACATCCGTTAAAAAGAAACTGCTAAAGAAACATGGGATGCATTAAAGATAATACACGAAAGAAGCAACTTATCTGGCAAATTACTTTTATTAAGAAAACTTCACAATACAAAGTTAGAGGAAAGGGGAAACATGATAATTCATAAAACTAAAATTTGAGAGGTAGCAAACAAACTTAAAGCAATAGAATAAAGAAATTAGCGATTCTCATTTATCAGCGATTTTACTGTGTTCAGTACTTCAAAGATACGACACACTCATAACAGCATTAGAAGCTAGGTCTGAAACAGAATTAAATTTCGAATTTATAAGAAGTAAGCTAGTTGACGAGTATAATAGAAGAATAGAAAATAACTATGCATCAGAAAATCCAAACAAAACATTTCAAATCAACAGAACATGTAATAATAATAATTATAGGAAGCAGTAAATATTGCACACATTGCAAATTTCGAAATCACAATAATGGTGAATGTTGGCATTTGAAAAAAAAAAAATCCTAAATTACTAAAAACCAAAAGAACACCAAAATAAGAGAAACTCGACCTCTTTATGTAAAAATATTGGATACTGGAGAACAACCATAAGATTAATAAACAAAATGGCGATGGAGTAGAAAATAAAATGAGCAACTTAACTTCGAAATCAGATAAAGAAAATGATCATCGACTCTGGTTCATCACATATTTCTAATAATCAGGTATCGTTTATTAAAATAACAGACACAAACAAAAATGAAGTAACAACAGCAAATGGGGAAAACTCTGATGTCGTACGACACGAGAGAAATAGACATCAAAATGAATAAATTAACTATAAAAAATGCTCTCTGAGTACCACACATCGAAACTAATCTTCTGTTAGGCCAGCCAAATCAACAGAAAACGGATGCACTGTAATATTTAGCGAAAGCAAATGCATGATAATTCATGATCAGGAAGTTTATTTAGATGCAATTAAACTAAATAATTTGTTATGAAGAGAAATTAAATCAACATTAGAAATTAATCAACATTTGCGATAGCAGAAATTGCACAGAAATTAGCACAGAAGACTAATATACAAGAATTATAACTCGATAGAAAAATTAAATGATATAGCTACCAAAATTGGCTTTAGTCGATGCAAACACTATAGTTTATGTGAAAATTGCATAAAAAGTAAACTCACAGACAATTCGTATCCTAAATCAACTCTAAACAGAGCAACCAAGTGTTTCGAAACTATACACAGTGATATCTGAGTCCCAAAGAAAATTCAGACGATGGGAGAAAAATCATATTTTTTTAAACTTTAACTCATGATTACAGTAGATATTAATTTATTTGCCTTTTGTCGAAAAAATCGGAAGCACTAATTTAAATTAAACATATAGCTATGATGGGAAATAAATTTGGCAAAATACCCGAAAACTTACGAACTGATAATGGTGGAGAATATTTCAACCAAGAAACAGAGAACTATTTAAGAGAAATGGGGATCAACCATCAACTAACAGTATCTTGTTCGCCGAGTCAAAATGGCGTTGATGAAAGACAGAATTAGATCGTTAATTGAAATTGTTAGAGCTCTACTAGTTTAGGCAAACTTTCCGTATCATTTCTGGGCATTGCGCACAGCTAAGTATCTGCAAAACAGACTAGAAACTAAAGGAACTAAACTTACACATTATCAATTATCGTTAAACAAAAAGCCAGATTTATCTCATATAAAAGTACTTGGCTGTAAAGCTTATACCTACATTGACAAAACCAAATGCACAAAGCAAAAGTAGGTGTTCGTTGAACAGCTCGAAAGATTATAGAATACATCATAAATGGAAAACGTGTTACAGTTAAATTCATGGAGTTAAAATCATTCATTCCCATACAGCTAAATTCATTCGTTCTTTTACTCTAAAAGGAATGAAGAGAAAATATTTCTTAAAACTCATGATCAAGAATCCATTGAGAGAACACACTTTGAAAATGAAAAAAACACCATTGAAATAGAAATCAGTCAGAAGAGGTTAACGCCTCGTCAAGTTGCACTAGCAGTTTTGCAGATCCGACAGAACTAACAAGGGAGTACCTCTACACAGATCTAGTACATCATACAAGAAACAAACAATCCCTCAAACTGGCAAGATCTATTAAATCTAGAAAATATAAAAGAAAAACAGAAATAGTTAAAAGCTACAGAAGAGGACATTAAATCTCTAAGACAGATCAAACCTGGACACTTGCTGATCCGCCAGAAGATTAATGAATAAGGAAGTCGATAGAAATTTAAAAGAAAATACAATAACAAAGAAGAAATTGAATCATATAAAGCCCACTTTGTAATGAAGGGATTTTCACAAAAATTTGGAGAGGATTTTTATGACATTCATTCATTCGCCAGTAGTATCTTACACCGTTATTAGAACTTTCTTAGCCATAGCTGGACCTGAAAAATTAACAGTAAACCATTTTGACGAAAAAACCACATTTCTGTACGAAAAACTCGAAGAAGATGCTTATATGAGACAACCAGAAGATTACGTAACTCCAGGGCAAGAAATGAAAGTATGCAAACTTAACAAAGCTATTTACGATCTCAAGCAAGCGGCTGGAGCATGGAATACAAAAATAATCAATTCTTTGAAATATCTAGGTTTCACTCAAAGTGATACAAAACAATCTCTTCAAACACAAGAATGGAAATTAATCAACTTATATAATAGTCTATGTGGATGATATACTGATTACTGGAAGTGAAGACAAAATAAATGAAATAGTAGAAAAACTAAAAGAAGAGCATGAAAAGAAAAATTTAGGAGAGCCAAATTACTACATTGGCATCAACATAAGAGAAACAGAGGGTGAACTTAATGCGGTCAATCAGGAATTAAAAATTAACGAACTAGTAAGGAAAATCAATCTTCTAGAAGTAAAACCTTGTAATACTCCCATTGAACTAGGCTACATAAAGACAGGTGGAGAAAAAAATCTTCGACCTAACAACTCTAAATACAGACAAGAAATAGGATAATTACTTTAGATTGCAGTTATTAGTCAACCAGATGAAAACCTATTGAGTCGTTGGAACAAAAATCCAGGAAAGATGGACTGGGAACAAGTTAAAAGAACAGTGAGATACTTAAATACAACAAAAAATTTCGGACTGTGTCTAGATATCGGTTTTCCCCCTACACTAACAATAGATGCAGATATTGATTGGAGACTAGATCGAAAATCAAGCACAGGAATTTTATTTCTATTTGGCAACGCACCTATGCAGCGGTATACTAAGAAGCAGACACTATCATCAGCTGAAGCTGAATATATCTCAGAAGCTCAAGCCACTAAAGAAACTTTATAGATTATAAAACTTCTTAAAGAATTGGAATTACCCCAAGAGTTGCACTCTGTTTGAATACAACCAATCGACATATAATCGATAAAGATGATTGAATACACAAGTCGCACCAAACACATCGATATCAAAGTGTAAGAAACCTTTAACAGAATGGGACTATAAAGCTGGAATATTGTCCAACGACATACTCATACAGTCCTGACTGCAGACATACTCATCAAACCTATATCCATGCCTGATTTTCAAAAACATAGAGAAACTGAAGTTACACCCTTATCCAAATTTAAAGATCAAGGATAAAAGGATCAAAGTTGGAAAAAATGATTTCTGATATTTTCTTTTCTCCACCAGGAAGTGAAAAACTCTCATATCACGTGACTTCAAGGTTTGGATATTAAATCAGTATAGATGTTATATATTATGTTTTATTCTACTTCCTTTCATCTTCCACTTCGTATTTCTTTAACTAAGGGAGAAGTCTCATTATTCCTTACAACATGTAAAATTGTTCTATGAAATAATGCATCGTTATAATTCTAAATCACTTCAATAGATGCTTCTTTCATGATACAATTTTACTCATTCATGGAATAATCAATGTTAAAAGAAAACTTATTTCAGCCAAATCGCATGGAACGCATTGCTTTGAAATAAAGGGTAAACTTTACTACCTTTTTGTTATCACATTGTTACTTAAATTATTTTTTCACGAGTCTTAAAAATATTGGTCTAGTTAGGGACTACCTTTTAGGTCTAGTTAGGACTAGTTAGAAACTTTACTACCTTTTTCTAATCACATTGTTACTCAAATTATTTTTTCACGAGTCTTAAAAATATTGGTCTAGTTAGGGACTACCTTTTAGGTCTAGTTAGGACTAGTTAGAAACTTTACTACCTTTTTCTAATCACATTGTTACTTAAATTATTTTTTCACGAGTCTTAAAAATATTGGTCTAGTTAGGGATCGCGAAACCGAGAGGGCAGACACTTTATCAATGAAGGAACCTTCTAAGTTTACAATTTTCACTTAATATTTATTTAATCAAATTTACAATAAAAGAAATAGATAATTTTTTAGCATATGAATTCTAAAAAAAAAAAAAAAATTAAAAAAATGTCTACTTCAAGCGAGATTTAAACATTTCTATGGTGAAGGCTTCTACTTTAAACGTTTTAATAATTCGTTAATGAAATTAAGTCTGTTAGTTATCTTTAAATCTAATTTTAGCAACAAAAAAAATCTTTTTACTAAAATAAAAATGAAGAGAGAACGAGAGTAAATATGAAAACTTGCAAAAGAAATGAGAAAATGTTTTAGTTTCTTCGAATTTTAATTAAAAGAAAGTTACAAGCATTTCATCCATAAATTACCTTTTTACTAGTTCTAAAAATATCTATCTTGTTCTATGAATATTTTGATTTTATGACTAAATCTATTAATTACCACAAAATATAAATTAATTTTTTTAAAGAAAAAAGGAAGTGAAACACGAGTATATATAAAAATAGTATAATAAATAATGCTGTAAGACAGCGTTATTTGTTTTTTGTTTTTAATTTTTAATCCAAAGAAAGTTACAAACATTTCATGTATAAATTACCTTTTTACGTATCCTAAAAATATAAGTCTTGCTCTCTGCGATGAATCTTTAAATACTTTGATTTTATGACTAACTCAATTGATTAATTCAAAAAAATTTCACTTTTCTTTTGTTATCTATGAACACGTCATACTTAGAAAATTGAAGCAATCTGCTCGAAACTACGCGCATATCAAATTTTTCTTCAACATAAATAGCGCTGACCTTGTGAGAGGAATTGATCTACCTAGTGATGTTATAGATAATAAAAATCTCTTTTTTATCTTTAAAAATCATTGCATCATTTAGTATGAAGGACTTATGAGATAAAAAAAATCATCAAACTATTCATGAAGTAACACAAATATCTAAAAATGGTAATCAAAGTTTTTGTACAGAAGTATCCACCGAGAGGAAATGTTTTGAAAACATGTGTTGAATATCAACAGATCCTTCGAGTATCTGAAATTAATGGCAACAACTTTACACCAAAGAGATGTTCTTCTACACCAAAGACACCTAGAATATTCTTTTACATTACTTCGTGTGTAAATGTTTATTACACTAAAATTTATATGATATGATGCACATCAGTAAAGTTAAGAGACAGCAAGAATCATAAATTTAGTATGCATTGCGTCATTTAGTATGAAGGATTTATGAGATGAAAAAAATCATCAAACTATTCATGAAGAAACACAAATATCTAAAAATGGTAATCAAGATTTTTGTACAGAAGTATTCATCGAGAGGAAATTTTTCGAAAACATTTGTTGAATATCAACAGATCCTTCATGTATCTGAAATGGTGGCAATAACTTCAGACTAAAGTAATGTTCTTCTACACCAGGGGTGTCAAACTCAAAAGCAAACTTGGGTCAAATAAACAATGCTTAACTTTAGGTGGGCTAAAAAAAAAGTTAAAAAAAAATCAGTGTTTACAGAAACAAATATTTTAATTATGAATAGTGCATCGTAATAAGCATAGACAAAGTAAAATTATTGTTTGATATCTCTTCTCTGCTACTATCTTTCCTATTTCGGGAGAAATTTGATTGGCCGAGACTACTTTCAAAATTGACCCAACGAGAGCTATTAATATGGTTTCGGACAGGAGATTTATTTTCATTCATAACAGAAAAAAATTGCTCGCACTGATAAGTACTTCCAAACATTGAAATAATTTCATATGCGAATTTTCGAGTATTTTCAAACCTTGCCGGAAAATATTTGTAAAATTCAGGCACACCCACTTCAATGAATTTTGTCTTCAAATTTGAGTCGCACTGAATCTCAATGACTTCCATTTGCATATTACTGGGTACTGAGTCTATATTTATTGAGAAAATCGAAGAAAACAAACAAAATTTGTCTTCCAAAGAATTAAAATCTTTAAATCTTGTTTCAAATTCTGTTCTATGATTTGAAATTTTTTCTGCGTATTTTTGATAAGATGCAGTATCCCTGGAATGGCAGGTGCCGCAAGCCAATTAGAATTTTACATTTTCGCGCGTACAATTTAAAATGATCCGTACAGTTTATAAATAAAGTATATTATAATTTTATATACTAGTTTCCTTTCAAATTCACATTTCTATTTTATTTTTACTTTGCGTTGGATATATTGACTGGGCCGCAAAAATGTCCATCTCGGGCCATATGCGGCTCGCGGGCCGTGAGTTTGACACCTCTGTTCTACACTAAAGATTGCACCTAGAATATTCTTTTACTTTACTTGGTGTGTAAATGTTTATTACACTAAAATTTATATGATACGATGCAATATTTTTAAAAATAAAATTAGTCTATTAATCAAATATAGAGCACAGAGAAAATATTAATACAAATTCAAACTAAGCTAAAAAAAGTGGTACAAATTAGATATTCTAAAATTATTTATCGTAGTTCACCAGATCACAGCTATTAAAAATAATTATCCTCATTACAGAACTAAAAACATACATATTTTAACTGCAAACTTTTGTTTCAGTCAATATAGTATAGCAGCATAGAAGAAAAGAAAATCTTTCGCCAGCTCTTAACTCGTTGTAAACAAACTACCGGCGATATCAAAAATGCACCAACATTGGTGTTTTTGGTAGTGAATATAATTCAATGCATCTGATGATGTTGGTGTATGCTTTTTCATTTATTGAATTTAAATACATCCTTTAAAGTGTGTAAGGAATGCTTGATTCGGTATTGTCTTAAAATTACGCACAATTTTTCAATACCATGGATATGTATTACACAACAGTTTTTACAGAGTACATACATTCCATTATAATCCATAATAAGTTAGTGAATTGACCACATTTTGTGTATATATATATATATATATATATATATACACAAAAATTTGACAAAAAGAGTGAGATCTTTAAACTTGTAAACCATGTGATTATAAATCCTGATGATTAATTTTAAAATTGTATGAATATATAAATATTAATCACATGCCTTATTTTTAAATTGAGACAATATGAATCCCGATATGAGGCTTTTAAATCACGTGAATATGAAACTCTATATAGAATTTTAAAGTATGCAGAAATACAAATCATGATGCGTAATTTTTAGAGCACGTAAACACGAATCACGATGCATAATTTTCAAACCGCGCAAATACAAATCACAATGTCTAATTTTTAAAACACGTTTAAGTACGAAAATCAATGTTTGATTTTACAACCGCAAAAACGTATCACGACATAGAATTCTAAGCTCGCATGAATACCAATCGCTACATAGGGTTTTAA